AATAAATTGAAATTGAATAATTATTACACTCTCGCTTTTTCACGGGAGATCTCACACATATACACACAACATAGGCCAAATGAAAATGGAAATTGGAAAAGTGTGAATATGACATTTGCTTGACGAATAAGTAAGAACTTGAACTAAAATAATAAATAAATCAAACATATAAAATAATTCAAATAATTCAAATAAAAGCTACTCAGATGGGGCAAATAATATTGTTTATATAAGTAATAAATTTTATTTGCTATTTACTACACACAATCGCACAGATCTCTAGCGACTTGCATACATTTAAAAACTAAACAAGCAAGTCCCTCAATTTATGACAATCGCCCAAATTTGCATCAAACTTTGGCAAAAATTACAAAAGCGTGCGTGACATTAACATACGCTTAAGTTGAATAATATCTGCACACAATGGGATATTTGCACGCCTAGCTGTCAAGTGCTAATCTCGGCACATATTTAATATTTGCTTTGTAATCGTTTTTCTTACGCTTTTGAACTTCTGAGAAAATTTGAAAGTGCAATATAGTTTTAGCCATATTTGTTTGTCGCAAATTAAATATTATCTGTGCGTTTAAGCCTTTTTATTATTTATTATTTTTTCACCATTTTGCCTAAATTTATCTTGAGCAAATTCCTTTGTTATTCATCTTGGCATTTTGCTGGAAGAAATTTGTGCACACACCAAGGCACAGCGGCTCTCTTTACTGTAGATGTGGTTTTTCGCTACTGTAATCGCTTAAGACCATTCATATGGTGTTGGACAAACATTATTGTCTGCACGCGTGTATGCCTAAAATTCAAAGCCTCAGAATGTTACTCATACGCAGTTATGTTTACAATTTGAATGAGGACATTATATTTTCTTCCTATTGTCCAATGTATATACATACATTATTCAATTAATAGTTTGAAATATTTAATAATTTTTGTGATTCGAGGTCACAAATTGCTTAAAGAAATATTTTTAATTTGGTTAATTTAAAAAGTTGTAGTAAAATGAAATAAAACGAATTTTATGCTTAATTCAATGCCAATTAATGAATGTTTGAAACTATTAGTTTTATTTGCTAGTTTTTTATGCATCGGATAAATTTTACTGCAATAAGGTTGATACCTCCGCTAATTTATCACACCTTTACTCTTTCTTGTCCGGCAAACCTCTTTCTTGACCACATAGACAGATTAAAGGAACACATCTTTCTTTGGAAAAATTCGATCTTGCGGTTTAACATTATTGACGTCGAGAACCTTGCAATGATTGCTTCACAATTTGTTTTTCACTTCCAGCATTCTCTTACAAAAAAGCGAAAAGTTGCTTAGTGCCAGATCCGAACAATAAGTTGGATGAGCAAGCACTTTGCCATTTCTTGCATTATTTTTTGTGATTTTTAATGCGAGTGGTTTCACACACTTTGCACAGAGCTTTTGATAGTCTCGGTCACTTGTTCATAGAATGAATGAGAGTGTTATAATAAAACTAAAACCATTTTCTAACTACATGTGCATTCAATTAAATGATGATTCAAAAGAATGAATGAGTTTTATAAAAATTTGATACTTTAGGTAATTTTTCTCGGACAAATTTCTTTCTCGATTTTTCCGTAGATATGGTAAGTTAAATTTTCAGACACTGTAAAGAAGAAACTATTAAAACAAAGTAGTTTCACTCTTTTAATTCAAATAGTATGAAATCGTTTCATCATTTTTTAAAAACTTTTAAGTTATTATAACGTAAATAATATCAGGCAAATACAAATTTTCACGCACAAAAATCGACATATAGCATAAAGGTATTTTATACATTTACTGGAAATTTGCATAGGCATATATATAAAGGTTTTTTTTGTTTGGTTTGGTTTTTAGAAAAAAGTCAACTACTTGTTACTACTTATTACTGTAGCTGCCTCAAGTAGTGTCCATTACATAGAAAGTAGTCTAGTAATATTAGAGAAGCTAATGGGAGATGCCCACATTGCAAAAAATAAAAAATTAAAAATAAAAATATAAAAAAAAACAAGTATGGAAGTTTCCAGTTCGGGTGTTAACAAACATATCATACTCTCGCAATTTGCAAAGATCAAAGAACGGCAAATTACTTCAGGTGTTGGCAAAATTTTATATTAAAGGAACATATGCATCCTTCACATTGACCGATATTTTCGGTAAAAATTCAACTGAGGTCCACATATTCAGTACCTAGGGGCTTTAACAGTTTTGGTTCGATTTAGAAAATTTTTGGTCATAAGGTGGTATACTTTACGCATTATCCACGCAAATTTTTATCCCGATACAATCATTGTTGCTTGGTTTGCATAGTGGAAAGTGCCCATTTTCGCACTATAACATAGAAATATGAAAAGAATGTTATGTACCGAATTTAGTTGAAATCGGTTAAGCGGATCCCAAGATATGGGTTTTCACCTAAAAGGGGGCGGTGCCACACCCACTATCTAATTTTGAACACGGTTCCTACAAAGTAATCTCATACCATCCCTGAGATAAAAATTAATGTCTCTGGCTTGTTTAGTGCTTGATTTATCGCGCTTTTAGTTGTTTTTAACAGTACCGTTATATGGGGAGTGGGCGGGGTTGTCACCCGAATTCACTCATTTTCACACCGTCGATAGAGATGCTAAAAACATTTATTCCCAGTGCATTTTGTTATTATAGCTTCAGTGGTATAGGAGATATGCACATTATACCGACCGAGATTAGGGGGTGGAACCACACCCACTGTGTACCAAATAACAGTCTTGTATCATATTGTGGAGCTTAGTAATGTCAATTTATTCGTTTTTGATTACTGGCGTTTTGTGGGCGTGGCAGTGGTCCGATTACGCCCATCTGCAATACCAACCGTCTTACGGTATCAAGACACATGTGTGCAAAGTTTCATAAAGATATATCAATTCTTACTCAAGTTACAGCTTGCACGGGCGGACGGACGGACAGACAGTGACCTGGATTTCAACTCGTCTCTTCATCCTGATCATTTATATATATATATAACTCTATACCTAGTTTGATTTTTTTGAGGTAATACAAACAACCGTTAGGTGAACAAAACTAGTATAATATGTAGCAACATGTTGCGAGAGTATAATAAAATAATGTTTCCATATTTCTCACCTTCGGAAGTAATGGGTATGTATATTCAATGTTATACTATAATACAGCAAATTAGTATAACAGTACCTAATCGGAAAACTGTAATACTTTGAACTGTAAGCTTAAACGACAAAACAGTAAAACTAATTTTTTAGCCATACAATTTTGTCATTACCTATTTACTTTCAGTTATTTTCGTGGGGAGTCTTTTAGGTACATTAACGTGACCACATACTTTTAAAAAACATAAGGTGTAAATGTAGTATTGTGAATGAGTCCAGCAAAATCATATAATCGCGACTAACTTCAGTTTAATTAAAATATTTAGCATTCACAATAAAAGTAAAACGTTTAAATTTAGAAAATATAAAAAGAAATTGTTGATGTCAAGTAGTATATGTATATATAAATATTTATGAACGTCTATTTATGATATATATATATTGAATAAATATTATATAGTTTAAGTTGCGTTATTATAATCTCTAAATAACAAGACTGATAAAAACACGTGTTACGACATTTTGATCTCATTCATTTATAGTGTGCATTTGACAGATAAAATATGGGTTCGTGACGTCATAAAGAAAGGAAAGAAGGGGGGGAATGACTTGCTTAAAATTATTATGAAAATAGGAGACTTCCTTTTGTTTATGAGATTGCGTAACGTAACGTCTCTATCAGTCTTGTTTTTATAATTTTATTCTAAATATATATCTATTTATTTATATTTTTTATTAATTCTCTACTTCAAAATGCTTTAATAGTTGTTTTATAAATATAATCTAATCGAGCCTAGCTAAGTTATATTATCTACATAAGTATGTATTTTCTTGCATATTTCATTCCTGTAGTATATTTATATGTATAGAGATTAAATAACAGACTTACCGAAGGCGCCAAATGGTTTACACAAATGGTTGGTTGATTGAAGCGCGAAACTTTCAGAATAACTTTAATTATCGCGCGTGGTTCAATTAATAGCATTGAATAGTAGTGATATAGCATTAATATTAAGATTGCAAAGGTTAGGATGTTTAATAGGATATTTAAATATTATCAAAAAAATTTTGTGTTATTTTCTCATACTTTTGGATGTAGTTTATACTCGCTCTTATGATATTTGTATTATAAATTTTGGTTGGTTTTAATATTTTCTCAGATACTAGTTTCTATATATTTTAATTGTTTAAATGCAATTTATATTAGCCATACAAGCTTATATAATATAGATATATTTTGGTTTTCATATAAATAGTTTTCTATAAATATTTTCACTACACGACTACTATTAAGGAAGAAGTTGTTTTTGCAAAGTGTTTAGTGTATACCTTTTAGTTAACTTTAAAGAGTTTATTATATGTATATGTATATTAACCGTAATGCTATATTCTTTTTTGTTAGTATAGTTTAAATATCGATTATAAATATTTTTTCCTAGAATTATTTCTAATTTATTTTAATTGGTGTTGCAGTTGCTTTTATTATTATTTTTTTGTACAGTGCCTTTGAAAATATAACGTACAAAGCATGATTGGCCGTGTTTACACCGTTTATCACCATTTAGTTTAATTACTACTTTGTGTGTTTGTATACAATTTGTATGCTTATAATCTATATATTTATATGTATGTATGTGTTAGAATATATTGTATGCTTCCAAGTAGTAACTGGATTTAATCGCTTAGTTTTTTGACATTTTGTACTCTCGGTTATAGTAGATATTTTACAAAATTATTCCCTTTGGTACTTATTCTACTTAGCTAAAGTATTACTATGCATTATAAATGCTGTATTATTGAAAAAAAATATATATACAATATGTATATATATATGTAGAATGTTATTTTAAATAATTTTACAATTAATATACGATTACTAGAAATGAATTTTCTAATTTGTATATTATAGTAGTGAAACTTTTTTTTGCAGGTAAGTTTTTTTTATTTAAATATTATTGTTTTACTGTAAGTAGTAGTGAATTTTTGGTTAGTAGTATTTTATATGTTATTCTACGAATTATTAAGCAGCACTGTATCGTATACATTGTGATTTTTATAGTTTTATAATCGTTGTAATGCACTAATTTGCAAATTATTGTTTTTTATTATTTGTAGTTATAAACTTACTACCATATTAGTATTCATGATAAATAGCCACTAATATATTAAATGCAATTTTTTCAAACCATTTATTAAACGCTTTCAGAATATGTCATATTTATCTAAACCACTAGTTTTATGCAAAGTACTTGATTAATATTTGATTTTCTTTTTGTAAAACGTATTACGTTTTTTAATAAAAATTATCGATAATTTAATAGCAATGAAGCTCGCTCAAGGAGGATATGATTTTAAACACATCTCTTGATCTTTTAACGAACTTTATATTCCATAGAAGATTCGCCTAGATAGAGAAATATAGATTTTACATTCACCAATAAATTTTAGAAAGTGGTTCAACTAAAATCGGGGAGCACAAATAACAATTCTTGGGGTTTTGAAGTTAATTACTAGAGTAAATTTATAGAACATGTCTTTGCATGTTTCTTGAAGAAATTTATTATGTTGTAGGGATAAAGGGGAGGTCTACTTCTTTCCAGTGTGAGAGCGCCTCAAAATTATAATTTTCTATGACATTTTACACTGTTGCCAAATTAGACAAATTCATCATGTTTGGGCTGTTAAATTATAACACTAATCATTTATTACGATTAAAAATTTTTAAGTGTATTGGCCGCTAAATATGTTGAGTAGCTATTTAAATATTTTTTTAAGATTCGGTGCGACAAAGTAATAATTTCAATAATAAATAAAGTGTATTAAACTTTTTAACTGTCAACTAATAATTTTTTCTTATTTTTTAACATTTTCAATTGTGAATTGAAACCCTGAAGCATCAAAATATTTCATCCAATATTGCTAAACGTCAAACCTACCCGTTGCAGTCAACTGTCAAAGTCGGATAGGTGATTTACGTTTTTGATTTGATAGGAAAGTTAGTCATCTCTCTATCTCTGCTACAGAGTTTCCAGCCATGGATAAAATTATCCGAAACTCTTTGATTTGAGAGAGCGCTGTCAAAGTCCACATTTTTTATAACATTTGACAGTAGTGCCATTAAGGGAAGAAATAATTTTTGAGATTTTTAAATGTATTTCTTGGGTATTTTTAGGTTTCCATTTTACAGAAAAATATACATAATTAAAATTAGTTTAACATGCTAGATATCCTATATGACTTTTAAATATATGTACGTGTATATTTTAATCACAAAATATTTTCTAAATTAACTTATAGAACTAATTTTAACAAAATATTTTAATATTTCAAAACACTTTCGAGTTTTAAATAAGCTAAACATGAACATTACTTAGTTTTTATATACTGAATAAACAAATATATTTCGATAATTTATTCGGAAGTCAAAGTTTACATAACATTTGCTGGGAATTCTAGCTTAAATATGTATATACGTTGGCAATTGGTACTGCTAAGCAAAACAATACTCTGCGACAAAATACACGCTCTTTTTTAAAATCAAAGCTATATTAAAACTCTTTAAATAAAGATTAGAAATATACGTATAAGTCACCAAAAAATCTGATCTCACAAATTACCCACTGATTTCGCATTTTATTTCTGCGGAATTTTTAGTGGTAGTTCATTGTTTTGGTTGTCATCTGTTCAGTAGCTCATGGACTCGTGGTTTTTTTTGGCAGCACTGAAAGTTTATGAGCTCTCTCAGAAAGCAAAGAGAGGAGTTTCGGATCATTTTATCTATGTTTCCTGCGGAATGTTGAAATATAATCTCAATATTTCAAACGATTGAGATTGCTTATTATTAAAAAACAAAAAAAATATATCTCTCGAATTTGAGCACAAAGACAAAGACGAGATATATACACAGATAATTCTAAGTAAAATTTTGATTTGATATTCTGTTTTGTCTGTCTGCTACGGATGAATTTCTATATTCAGCAGATTTTACGTTATTCATTAGCGTTTATATATGTGAGTAGTTTTAGTTAATAAATACATTTAACATAAGTTTATTAATGCCGTTACTTTGTTACTAGAATATCTTGCGAAAATGAGTGCTGTCTAATATATAATAGAATAATTTATTCGTTTATAATATTTCCTTTAATTCTGGTTGGAACGTACGACCAAACTTTTATATATATTAATATCTTACGAATGATTTGCTATTTTAAAAATATTGAAAAATTTAGATATGATTATTGTAAATATTGATATGATTAATGGATTATATGTTATATACATGTTCATATGAGAAAAGCCGTATATAAAAGATTTAGATTATAAACTACTTTATACTAGTTTACTCTTCCACTTTGCCACAAATATTATTCTACAAACTTTTTATGTATTGGGATTATATTGAGCTGGATAACTTTGAATTGTATATTTTATAAATAGAATAAGTATTCATTTAGATATATGAATATTATTTAAAATACTGGGTTAAATAATTTAATACCAATTCACGATTTTTAAATGCTAATTAATATGTTTACTGCTAACACCTAATTTCTAATCGCATTTCATTTTATATTTAATGGAATTTAAAATGTAATATGGTAAGTAATAAATATACAAAGCTTACTGCTTGTGTCACCTATGGTAACTATTGTTTCAAATACAAGTATTCAAATATTTTTACAACGCTTTTATGGCTTTTTAGGAATTTATCGTATATATTGTGGCGTTTGATAATCCTAAATTAGCTATGAGCTTACACACGTAATTATATACATATGAGTGTAAGTGAATTGTACTATAAATAGTATATATATTTATTAATTACTATAATAAATATTGGCATGATTTACTATTGACATTTGTCTTACAACTCTCATATAATAGCGTAGTAATATTTTACATTTTTTACAACTAATGATCAGTAAATTATTGGTTTATATCGCAATTGTATTTAAATTTTTATTGTTTGATTAGCTTTTATTTGTTGTAAATGACATAGTTTTGGAATAAAGACTTGTTTTCACTTAATAAGCTTTTATACTTATTGTTTGTATTTTATATATATCTAATAATATATTTCGATTATTATTATTTTTTTTCAGTTTTAATTGTATATAATGTTGTTTTATGTATTTTAAATTTATGTCGGTATGTACAATAAGAATAATTTAAAAAAATGGGATCTTGAATGAACTTTCAGTTCTCACTTGACATGCAACATGCACTTGAGTAAACAGCGTGAAAGGGTTATTTACAATCTATTATGGCACACTGTTTCAGCATGAAACGATTAATGGTAGGAAATGCACTAAAAAGTGATTCCAAAAATAAATCCTACCAATCCACAGACTAAAATGTTGATAATTGTATGATATCTTAGTTAAGGCTAACAGTTCCCGAAATGACGTCAGCCAATCACACTCCAGAACAAGAAAAAATGTTATCTTCGGTTGCGAAATAGTGCTCTGATCTGAACAAAATTCTTCGGAGTTGGATTATTGCCTTAAATAATAATCCGTACCAAATTTTCAAGATACCTCGTCAAATTAAAGAGCTACTTGATTCCAATCGATTAGTTTCTATGGAAGCTACATGCTATAGTGACCCAATCTAAACAATTTCTTCGGAGATTACATTATTACGTCAAATAAAAAAGTTTCTCATACAAGTACTTGATTTCGATTGTTCAGTTTGTATGGCAGATATATGTTATAGCGGTCAGATATTGACCATTCTGACCAATGAGCAGCTCCTTTGAGGAAAGGACAGATATAAAATTTCAAATAGATAGCTTAAAAGCTGAAAGACGAGTTTGTATATATACAGACAGACTGACAGACAGACGGATATCAACGACTAAATTAACTCAGCTCATCTGTCTCAACTCAAACTGTCCCAATGCTTTTTATAATGTTTCATTTGAGTTCATTTTTCGAAATTCAGCGAACTAACATTGAAATGCTAATAAGACTGATCTACGACATTCCATGAGCATTGGGCATGCCGAATTTTCTATTTTTATGCTATCTAATAATTGTACAAAAAAAAAAAAAAAAACAGCCACCAATGATTTGTTCACTTTTTTAGCTTTAATGGAGTTTCATATAAATAGTACGAATAATTGAGCTTTTTTACTTCAGATTGGTGAAACAATATACATATTTGTTTTTTATTTGTTGTCTATATTTATTTTCAATAATATTTTTTACGATTATTTTTCCTTTGGAATTTGAATTATTTTTTATATTTTTTGTTAGTTAAAGAATTTTTGTAATTTACCTAATTTAATTGTATTTTTAATTTATTCAGGTTTTTATATATGCTTTTTATAAATTTTGTTAATTTATTTTTTATTTACTTACTTTTTTATTTTTTGTACAATTCTGAATAATTTGTTTACCATTAAATGGAGATTACCACTAACTCTGTAGAAAATATGTATATTTTTACTTAATTTTTTGTAAATTCGTCTAAACTAATTATGGCATTAAATTTTTAAAGCAGTTAATACCATTACCATTATGTCATTATTTCTACATTTAAGCTTATATTTCACTTAATATTATAGTCTAAAATTGCTTTTACCAAGTATGTTAGTGGGTCATGTAGTCCTTTAAAAATTGTTTATACAGCACTGAATATTCAAAATTTGCTAAATCAAAGTTGTTTATATTAGGTTAAAATTATTTATATATATATTGCAATACTATCGAGATAAGGTTTGATCTTAGCTAAGCTACGTATTTTAGAATTTCAGCGCAGCACATATATTTATTTATATATAGATAGTACCAACCAAAATTTATATTTATTTGTCATTCAACTATTAAAAAAATATATTTTCACTACAAATTCATATGTGTATGGATGAAAGCTGGTAAAATGCGAGATTGAATACATTTAATTTCATCAAAAAATGCTTCGAAATTCGATTATGAGTTACGTATACATAAGTTGCCTTTAGCTCTATAATTGAAGTCGTTTGGGATGTTTTATTACTAATACTTAAATTTCCAAACTTTTCGCTTCGATTTTTTAAGAGAAACTTCAGCGCTTGTGAGTTTAGTCAAAAAGTTTAGAGAAATTCGTACAAAGAGGTTTTTATGCAAATGTTGATTGTAGTAATTGCCGATATCTCTCTCTCTCTTTCCCCAAATAATTTTTTATTCATAAAATGTTGATTGCAGAGATGTTTCGGCGAAGACAACCTTTATTTTGCCAACCAATCTCAAATTTCTTTATTTTGTTTTATTTCAATTTTATGTGTCATTTGTTTTGTTTAATTTCTCACGCCGCTGGGTGTAACCTTACCTCGGCGGCGGCGGTGGCGGTGGCGGCACCTGTGCTCGGCTCGATGTCTGCAAATCGAGCGCCGATGTGGTGTTGAGCGGACTGTCACCATGTGGTGGGCGCATCGTTGTTGTTGGCGCACGTATTTGAGCATATGGATTATCGAAGAAACCTTGTGACATGGCCAACATTTTGACGGCTATTTACTTAGATTAGGCGGTTGGTTGATGGACGTTAGCTGCAATGAGAAAAATAAATGTGGGTTGAGATTTTCTTCTTAAACTGTTTGAACTATGTATAACTTGGTTACTGCTCTCTGCCATAATCGCTTCTCCGGAGTGCAGCTCTTACGAAATCTAAATTAATTGCTTTGATAAAGTTCAAACGAAATTTAGTTAGGGAAACTTAGATGCTTAATAATAATTAAATTATTATTTTATGAAGTTACGTTTAATGAGAAAAATATAAAATTTTTGGGTTGAATATATTTTTGCGTTATAAATTCTTTGAATATGATTCAGGATATGCTTAAGATATGAAGGCGGTCCGTTAATGATTTAGTATCAATGCCCAATGCCGCCACTATTGCTATATAAATTTATTAACATATATTGCATTCCAGTAGTCGGCTACTTTCCAAAAATCAGCCGAATCGGATTCAATTGAACTTATGCGATAGATAAGAGCAAGCAACTAAAATAATGGGTATGAGAAAGCTGTAGCATGATGGGTGCCGCATTTGCTCACTTCGGATAACAACCTTCACAGCAGTGTGTGATACTCCTTTAGCGCAATCGGAAGATGTTTCTTCATAGTTTTACGACCGTCGCCGATGGATACATATTAGTGACTAAGGAATAGTAGAAACAATGGATTTTATTGTCAGTATGAAAAAGGATGGTCACTGTTTTCTGGGATTCCAACGGTATGATCTACACGGCCTGCCTGGAGAAGGTTGAGCTGATTCCTATAGCGAAAAAATACCTAATTACAATGGTTCTCCAGTTTTGGCTCCGTAAATTTCTTTCTGTTTTCAAACTTGAAAAAGCTCCTCGCCGATAATTTGAATCGCTGCCCCGGAGCCCTAAATTGAAAATAGCTGATACTAGTATACTGAGTTAAAATGATATTTTGAAAAATAAGACGCCATTTTCTCCAAATTTTTTTATTTCTTATGTAAGCTAAATACATATATATTATTGTACCCTCATATACTAAATAAACGTTAAATTGCAAGAAATATTTAATACTTGTAAGTAATGTTTATCAAGCTGTACTGTCTTAATACCAAGCGAGTTTATATGCTCATTATTTCACCCTTCGCCTAATAGTATGCAATAGAGTTGAAAAACTAATTTAAGTTCATTATTTGCGTGCAAAAAACAATGAGGAATTTTTTTTGAAAAAGATATTCCTTTTTTCTTTGTTACTTTATTAGTTTTTCTGCAGTACAAACAATAAAATAAATGTTATCATTATTGGTGCTAAAAAAACCATATGTACACACATATGAAATGTAATTATTAACAGTTATGTGAAATTTATTTTATTAATTTCAAATTTATCGTTGTAAATGCTGTGATAGCAGTTCACTGCAATACCATTTTCTAATCTTATCGGTGATAAATCACTAATTTTACATAGCCGGCAGCAAGCAGCAGCATCGCGGCACCCACTTGGGTTGAGCGGAAATTATCAGTAGAAGTCGTCTTTTACAAAGTAATTTGCATTGAAAATAGCGGCGCATATATGTGAAGTTAACATACGAGTAATAAATATATCACTACCCTTGAAGCGATTGCTGTTATACAAAAATACAAACTATATAGTATATATTTATGTGAGTACATATGTATGTGGGTACAAAATGGCAGATTCGTATAGTTTCGGCAATAAATTTACATACCAATACGTAGATTAATATGTTTGCATATATTGCGACATAGCTTAAGTCAACTTAAGTTAATCTAAGTCATTTTAATTTACCTTAAAAACATATGAAACTCGGAAGCACCAAACTAGGCTAAATTGAAAATAAAATGTATGCCTAATATAATGCCCGACACTGTATATATTAGATAGGTAGAGATTAGTTTTCAATTCCTGGATATCGGTTTTTGTAAATTAACCTTAATTTTTCAATATACACATATAGCTTTTATAATATATCGAAATAAAACATTGCAAACAAAGTGTCCTCATATTATTCTTCATATTATGATACCAAAAATGACTGATCATAATTTTTCAAGCCCTCATACTAAATATGTTGAACTTAGTGTCTATAGCTGACTTTTTATCGAACATTCTGCGAGATTCATTATGAAATTCAGAAGGTATATTTTCATAATCCGTCAAAAACATGGATAAAATCAGTTCAGTACTTCCTCTACCCGTTGTATACTTATTATAAGGATGTGTAAACTATCGGTTACGTAATATCATATACTATAAAGTGGTCAATATGTAAAATATGTCATTAGCATTACGTGAACATTGATTAAATATACTGTATTTTGGCACCGAAAGTGAATGAAATCTAAATTATCCCAGCCCCCATATAATACATACATGGTTATTCAAGTCGACTTTGTGCAGAATATATCGGTCAATGTGTGAGTCGTCTTAGTAATAGTGGGTGAAAAGATCATATCAGGCATGCTTTCGTTTAATACCAAAAGTAAATACATTATGACTGCTAAGTGGTTGCGGGTTTCTATCGGGATTTTATTATGTTCTTAACATTTGCCATTGCAGAAAATATGTAAACAATTTAGTTACATCCTGAGTAACATTAAAAAAATTAAGTGACAGTTTCTAAGATATTTAGATAAAAGTATGTAACCATTAATGAAACCACGCCTACATAAAGAATATTAGGAAAGCCTCCATTATATTTTACGTCGGTATGTAAGCGTTGAATACTTTTAAGAAATCCCAAGTTAATATTCTGATTTGATTTGGTTCTTTATAATTAAGTTCGATATCAATCAAGTGGCCAACTTTATTATTTACAACAGACAAGCCATTTTTGATACGATTTTCCTTTTTTCGGAACTACAAGGTGCGTTCCAAAGTAAACAGTAAAAAAGTAACAAAGTAAACTCTAGTGGCGCCATCTATATGTCGAGTGCGTTAGAATCTGCTATCCTTTATCGACTGCCAGTAAAAATTTCATGACATTTCATATATTGGAAGTGAAGTTTTAGGATTTTAAGTGTCAGTATGTTGTTGTCATCGGTGCGAAAATGAGCTTCAAACAAAGAGCCAACATTAAATTTTGTTTTAAAATTGGTAATACTTTTACCGAAACGTTTTAATTGATAAAACAAGTTTATGGCGATGATTGCCTATCCCGTAGCAGAGTGCACGAGTGGTTTCAACGTTTTCAAAGTGGTCGTGCGGACATAAAGACAATGCTTATTTGTTTTTATGATTCGAAGGGTATTGTCCACAAAGAATTTGTTCCACCCGGCCAAAACGTTAATGTGGTATTCTACCTTGGAGTTGTGAAGCGTTTGGTGCGCTGTATACGACGTGTTCGGCCCGAATATCGCAAAGATGGAAGTTGGCGTTTGTTTCACGATAATGCGCCGTCTCATCGATCGACGCTTGTGGCCGATTATTTGACCAAAATCAGATTTTAACAATCAACCACTCCCCCTATTCACCTGTTATGGCACCGTGCGACTTCTACCTTTTCGGAAAAAAGCATTTGCCGACGAAAGGAAAGCGTTATGCAGACGTGGAGGCCATTCAAAAGGCTTGCACCGGCATACTGGCGGCCATATCGGGCAACGAGCTAAAACACTCGTTCGACATGCTTTTCGACCATTCAAAAAGCTGTATCAAAGCAGAAGGAGACTATTTTGAATAAAATTAAGTGATTTAGCCGATAAAACCATTTGTTCTGTCTTTTTTTTTTAAAGTTCTGTTTACTTTGGAACGCACCTTCAATAATGGTGGTTGATAATCGATATTCTATCAGTCAATTAATTCGTGAGTTTTGGTCGTTGATGCACTGCAAGAAGATGAACTCTTTCCATCCTTTGAAACAAAATCCGATTACAAATGACGAATAGTGTTATGGGGACGGTGCCTATTTCCAAAAATATTTCCGATTATTCGCATCATTATTTAGGCGACTAAAGATACAAATTGTAAATTGAGGTTTCCAAGACTTGTCTCACCATTACTTGAGTAATATTATTCATTGTTTTTTATCGTCTTATGTCGACATAAAAATTGTACCCTATAGACTAATGAAGGTTGCCCTAATTTAAAGAATTAAACTATTTCATTTCTTATTCAAATTTTAAAAGGAAAATTAATGAAAGCAAAAAACATTGAATTTTCAAGATTAGAATTTCTGTGCTTTTAAACAATTAATTTTCCTTATGGAGGTACAATACACTTTGTCACTTTCTACATCCCGATATAGATATATATAGATATAACTAGTAATGAAATGCAATTGCAATCGCAAAAAATATAACATCGATCAAATATTCCATCGTGAACGTCATCAACATTTAATAACAGGTGAGCAATTTTTTTCGTTGGGACTACAAAAACCATATACGGAAGCGAGCAGGTACTTGAAATTGCTCGACGATGGTAAATGTAAAATTTATGGACTCCCAACATGATTTTGGGCGAAGCTAAGCTTTCAAAATGCAATAAAGTCAGCGCTGACCAGTGACAACTCACCGTAGTCCCCTAAGCGGTGACAAGCCAGCAGCCAAATGCCACACTCGTTCGCCAAATGAAATTCACATTGAGCATTGATTTTCACCTGACTGCAAACCAACAGTCCATTACAATCCTAACGGACTTTTACATAAATAAACACAATCATTCGTTTGTATATACATACATGCATATATGGCGGTGTATCCAGCCCACACGTTGGCAGCCACTATTGTACATAATTCAAATGGTTTCAGGGGGCGCCATGATGTGACAGTAAACAATAAATGAAATTGCGTGAAAATATTCAAATAAAACATAGTGAGTGACCGTATGGTTACAGATATGCATGTAGAATTAATTTAGAATTGAAAATGTTTCTGACAATATCGCATTTAACTGCATATTTTAGCACCAGATGTAGTTTTTACGGTTTTAATTGAAGCATTGTCCTCATTTTGAATTCCTAAACCAGAATTGGATTTTGAAATTATTTAAGATATTTTCTTTGCCTATATTTAAAGCTCGGTTTTGTATTTATATTAATTT